TACGTTTATACTATTCCAATTATTGTTCTTAGTGAATGATGTAATATTTCTTTCAATAACTGATCGTACATTTGCTTTGATTTATTAATAAATTATGAATTGTGTAATATTTTATCTTGTATTGTAGATTTTGTCTGTACTTGTACTTGATGAGAGATCCAATAATTATAGTAATTAATACATTGAACATGTATCTACAGGTACCTGAAAAATATATTTCCCAAAGTGGAAGAGACTATGTTGCTTGATATTTTGGAACAAAGTGATAATAATGTCCAGAAAGCTTCAGAAAAACTGATTGATTTGGGCTATGAGAAACGAAATCCTACAGCTCCTAGATCATTAGCAAGGAAGAAGGAAGAAGAACAAGTAATACACTAAACTCTTTCTTTTTTCTTTACTTAACTTCTATAATCATTTTAATTCACTTTAAATTGTATTTTTACAGGCAGCGAGAAATAAACAACAAGCTGCTCCTACTCCTCCACCACGAATGAAAAGTTTAGAGGAGAAAAATAAAAGTAAATTATTTTATATTTTTCTAAAATGCTAATATAGTCATTTCACGGGAAATCGTAATAAAATTTTTTAGTGAAAGCACGTTTAATGGAGAAATATAAGACCGTACCAGAAAGAGTAATAGCGCTTGCAATGGATAGTGTTGATTATGACGAAGAGAGAGCTATACATATATTGGACATTATGGTTACAGAAGAAGCTACAAAACCTCCATGTGCATCTAGCAGTGAGAAGTAAATTAAAATATTAATTATATATATTTTAATATATGTTAACAGTTTTAAATATTTTTCATTCAAATCAATTACATTGTTGAAACGGGTAAAGTTAAAATTTAGTATCTTTTTAACGCAAATAATTACGGAATAACACAATACGTAAAAAACTATAAATGTAGACGAAATGAAAAGTAAAATTGTTCCACGTCAACTGGTATTAATAATATATATTACAAACAATTAATTGTATAAAGTGACATTGTTTTCAAAGTTTTTTAAAAATTTGATTACTAATGTATGCTATGTAAGTACAAGTTATACATTAAGTAAGCCTATATAAAAACTTACAGCAATAGAAGTGATGAAAAAGAAGACAGCCCTCCAATAACTGAAGCAGTAAAATTAACCGCTTCACCAATTAAGAAAGTAATAAAAGATCCGGAAGTGGAAAAATCTAAGCGATGTAAAAATAAGATAGAAATACCAAAGTAAGTTATATTTTTGCATCGCAATTAAATTTTTATACTAATATATCATTTTCACGTTAAATAAATAAAGTTAAACACATGATATGCAATTAAATTTCTAGAGTCTCTCGAGGAACCAGTACTAGAGAAGATAATGAATATAAATCTCCATATCTAACAAAACCTGTTGGACCAAATTCTGATTTACCAAAGGGAGCCAATAATGATTTACTTCTGTAAGTTAAAAATTTTCTGTTTCTATTAACTAACATTCTTTAATTCATACTTTATATATGTAATTGCACACTTCACAATTGTAAAGTTGTAATTATTATTTTTATCACAATTTTTGTAGTCCCGATTATGCGCCATGGTCAGGGCCAGATCCAAATTTGATAACAAATAACACATTTACCAAAATAGTGTCACATGGGCATGATACAGGCTTAGTTTCTGGAAAATTTTATACTGCTAAAGGTCCAGATCCACAACTGAGGAAAGGTCCATTACGAGGGTTAACTCAAGGTTCCATTTATTCCCAAAGGAATGCAATAAATTCAGAATGTCGTGGTAAATGAAACTTATGTAATTGCTTTTTTTTTAATTTATATATTTGTTAAAACGAAACGATTGTTGTTTTACTTTTATGTTAATGTTTTTGTATGTTAATCATTTAATTTATGCATATAAATTTGAATGCAATTCCATGAATTTAAAGAAACAGTTGATTATTTTTAAAATCAACTGAAATATTAGTTTGTTAACTTCCAATGTGTTATATGAT